AGTTGATTAATTACCGCATGGACCTGTCGGACTTTTAGCAAGAAATTTAATATCTCGAACCGGAATTTGAACACATTTTTGACACAATATTTCTTTTCCAGTGTATGTGACTCTATCTCCCGATGGAAAAACTTGCCTGGAAAATAATAACAATATTATTATTATTATTATCATTATTAAAAAACGAGTTTTTTTTTTTTTTTCCGACGCCGTCGACGCTGTCGTGGAACGAGAACTGAAAGGAGGGATAAACGCGAACGCGATCAATCCACAAATCATTTTGTTGCTCCTGTTGCTGTTGTTCTTCTTGCTGTCGTTCACGACCACGTAATAATCTAATTTAAAATTTCTTTCGTGATTATCCGGTTCGGGTATAAAAAAAAATAAAAAATCCGTGCCGTGCCGTGTGGCACCTTTCCATTAAATTTTTCGATACATTTGCAACTCATTAAAACTCGTACCGAAAAAGAAAAAGTGAACTTCCTTTTCGAGAGGCAAAGAAAAAGAGAGCGAAAGAAAGAGAAAGAGAGAAAGAAAGAGAGAGAAAGAGAGCGAGAGAAAGAGAGAGAGAGAGAGAAAGAGAAAGAGAGAAAGAGAGAAAGAAAGAGAGAGAAAGAGAGCGAGAGAAAGAGAGAGAGAAAGAGAGAGAGAGAGAGAGAGAGAGAGAAAGAGAGAGAGAGAGAAAGAGAAAGAGAGAAAGAGAGAAAGAAAGAGAGAGAAAGAGAGCGAGAGAAAGAGAGAGAGAAAGAGAGAGAGAGAGAGAGAGAGAGAGAGAGAGAGACAGAGAGAGAGAGAAAGAGAGCGAGAGAAAGAGAAAGAGAGAGAGAGAGAGAGAGAGCAAAAAAAAAAAAAAATTATTCTACCATTAGACTAGAAAACCAGTTTTCATTTCAACCCGAGTCGTCCATTTTTTTTTTTTTTTTTTTTATAGCATTAAATTTAAATGAAGTTACAACGATAAACACCGATGCGAAACGGTTACGTTCAAACGTTCGTTTAAACGTTCGTTCGAACGTTCGAAAACTTTGGCAAAAAACAAATAAAAAGTTTTTTTTTTTTTTTTTCACGCACCGAATCTCATCGTTATTGACCGTTTCATTGCACAAATTGATTTTCAAGGTTCTTTTTTCCTTCAAACAAGCAAAATAAATAATAATAATAATAACTTTTGTTTGTTTGATTTTTTTTTTTATAAATAATAAAAAAAAACGTGTTTCGCAATTACGATGGCACATTATAATCATGGCCACACGCATTACCGGCAGCAGCACTCGGCATCACAATGCGAACAAATAAACCTAACTAAAGAGAGGCGAACGTGTTTATTAATTTTTTATATTAATAATTATGACGTCACGCGAAAATCGAAAACGATGTGCCATAATTTCTTTTTTTACGTGATCGAGTATTTATTGTGACGGTTGAAAAGGGGTCACCACACCGTCACCATCGCCTCATCAACATTCGAATGGCGTTCGTGTTGCCTTCGTGTAATCGCAATCGTAACCCAAATAATATACTTGTTTTCGTTATCCTCCCCCTACCTCCCGCCCCTCCCCCTCCTGTCTCACACTCACCTGCAACGTCCGCAAGTAAAACATTTCTGATGGTAAGTGTTTCCCAGAGCCGTGACCACTTCTCCCTCGACGTATTCTCCGCAGTGTGAACATTTCGTTCCAAATTGTCTCTGATAATCGGTCGTGCAATAATAATCGCCGTCTTTGCAAAAGAATCCACCTTGTGCGAGAGAATTTTTACAAGCTGAAACAACAACAACAACCATAAAAACAACCATTACAACAAACAAACAAACGAAAGAAGGAGTTGAATAAAAAAAAATTTTTTACCTTTGCATTTAAAACAACTTATGTGAAAATATTTGTCTTGAACTTTTAACACTTCTCCAGAACATTTTTTCTTGCACATTTGACAATACGTTTTGCCACCTGGAAACAAACAAAACAAACAAACAAAAAATTAATACAAACGATTCGATCGTATTAAGGGAACCTAAAAAAAAAAAAAAAAAGAAAATGTTCTAGTTTGGGGTGGGGTGGGGGTGGGGAGGGGGCGTAACTACGTAACGACGCTCTACTTTTCTTTTTTTTTTCCATCACCAGATAGACAAAACATTTTAGCAGACGACGCGAAAGTCTATAAAAAAAAAAAAAGAAATAAATGCCATTCTATTTTCGTTCGCGTAATAAACAAACGTAGCGCCGTTAATAAACGACAGCAAATATTTTTTTTTTGCTTTCGTCAATCAACATGTCTTCTTCTACATTTTCTCCTTCCACGTACCTTTTTCCAAATACACAATTTTTTTTTTATTTTTTTTCCCCGGCGACAAAAAGACGTTCGAATTCGAACTCTGACCCAATTGAAAAACGGAATAACGAATTTTTATATTTTTTGTCATGCCGTTGCTAATCCAACCGCCGATGAAAACCATTTTGAAAAAAAAAAAATTTTTTTTTCTCCAGTGCGTTTAATAATAATAATAATAATAATAATAATAAAATCCCGTCACGTTTTAAAATAAATTTTTTTTTTTTTTTTTTTTTTTGTTCGCAGGCACTGCACACAACTTTATAAATCAACGTACTGCGACTGTTTTAATTTTTTGTTTTAGTTTTTTGCTTTTCATTTTCATTTTCATTTTTTTTTTTTTTTTAGGCTTTCGATCTGGCAATCAGGTATGAAAATAATTCGCGTTTGAACCGCCAGATCGTGTTACCGCGCTCTTATTTATAATACGCCTATATATATATATATATCGTCATGAACCCGTACTCAATGTTTACATTTTTTTCAATTATTTATAAAACAAAAAAAGACTAACGATGAACTCAAATTGTCCTTGTCTAAAAGCGAACCTTCTAGAAACCTTTCGTTTTTGGATTGTTGGACATTCGAAACAAATAACTAACGAAAAAACCGACTTTATAAAAGCGTTGTGGCTTCACATCTTTGCACGCGTTCTTTTGGATACTTGTCGTTTGTTATATTGAATTCTTATCCGTTTCCTTAATTTTAGTTTTTTGGTTGAGTGATGGTTTCTTTAGTGTTTGTTCGCGAGTTAAAATAACCTTTGCTACTTTTATTTTGTGACAAAAGTGTATGCTAAGCATTTAACAACACGTCACAAGAAATATAAACCGTAAATTAATTTTAATATTAATTTGCGACTTAAAATATAAAGAACGAACCGAACGTAACGTATTAAAATTTCGGCGCAGTCGATGAAGGATCATTCTGAAAAACTTTATCAGAACTTAACTCTTTATCAGAAATTCTTTATATTGTAAGCAAGTAGAAAAAGGTAACTCATTTTGTGAACAATGCTTAGACTTGATCAACCTTTTAATCCATCCCAAATGTCCCTTGATTTCTTGTGTAGTCTAGTTCCTAATTTCTTTTCCGGAGAAAGGGACCAAATTGATGCATTTATCTCTGATTGCAATAATGCCCTTGAACTCTCCTCTGAAGAGAATAAGTACCCTCTTTTCAGATTTATCTACTCAAGGATCACGGGAAAAGCAAGAGAAAAAATTTCCATGTATAATTATGACAATTGGGACGAGGTGAAGACAAAATCAATAGAATTGCATCAGGATAGGAAACACCACAGTCAACTTATAGAAGAATTGACAAATTACAAACGAGGATCGGATGAATCAATCACAGAATTCTACCAAAGGTTAGAAAATTTATCCTGTGGAATTATATCCAGCTTAAAGGTAGATACCAAAGACAAAAAATCTCTTTCTTCAAAAAGTGAATACGTCAATGAAATAACTCTAAATCGTTTCATCTTCCATTCTAATTCCAAAATATCTCAAATGCTGAGATGGAAAAATTTCGATAATATTAACTCAGCATATTCAGCAGCCATTGCTGAAGAAAAAATTTTAGAAATGAAAAAAGGTAATAAATACTGTAACTGTAATTCTAGAAATTCTAATTCACATGAATGGAAGGTAAGACCAAAACCAGATGTTTCAAAAACTATGTCTTCAGTTCGAATTCCAAAATTCTGTAGGTATTGTAAAAAATCTGGACACCTTTCAGAAGAATGTTTCCTGAGGAAGAAAAATAATGAGCCCATCAGATTAGAATTAAAGCCCACGAAACCAAATTCAATCCCAGAGAAAAAGTCAAAATTCATACACTTTTGTCACAAAATAAAAGTAGCAAAGGTTATTTTAACTCGCGAACAAACACTTAAGAAACCATCACTCAACCAAAAAACTAAAATTAAATAAACGGATAAGAATTCAATATAACAAACAACGAGTATCCAAAAGAACGCGTGCAAAGCTGTGTAGCTTCCCTTTATAACCTCGGTTTTTCGTTAGTCAATTGTTTCGAATGTCCAACAATCCAAAAACGAGCGATACATGCAAGTAAAACAAAAGAAAGAGTTTCTAGAAGCTTCGCTTATAGACGAGGACAATTTGACTTTATCGTTAGTCTTTTGTTTTATAAATAATTGAAAAAAAACTGTAAACATCGAGTACGGGATCATGACAATATCATAAATTTTTTTTTTTTTTTTTTTTTTAAATTTCGCACGTGATTTTTTTTCGCCTGGAAACAAGACATTTTTCGATGAAGACGCAAAGTTAAAAAAGATTAAAATTTCGTTACGGTACTGCACGCCTTTTAATGGTAAAATTTTGTACAACTTTAACGGTTATCTAAAATCAAACGTTACAAAATTTAGAGGTTTAAAATATGCTTGTGAAACAACACGGGAAAACAACGAAAAATGCCTTCGAAACATCGTTTTTAACGATAGCATACCTAATCCAAAAGAAACTACGTTAATAATAATAATAATAATAATAATATTAATAATCAATGTTTACGTTTAAAAAAAAAAAAACATTACAAAATTGAAAATGACGTAAAAAAAGAAGCAAAACAAAAAGAAAAACGTGATTCTGGTTCGAAACGACCTTTGAACTAGCACACACACACACACACACACACACACACACACACACACACACACACACACACACACACACACACACACACACACACACACACACACACACACACACAGTACCGAAAACAATACAACCTGCGAATTTAAAACACGTGAAAAGCCAGGTGGTAAAATCCAGATGATGAATGCCCACACACACACACACACACACACACACCCCCCCCGCGTGAATGAATTGATTGATATAAATAAAATTAGAACGAAAATCAAAGAAGGGCAATATTAATAATAATAAACGTGAAATGATAAAAAAGAAGGAGGAGGAAACCTGCCGTGAGAGGAAGTAGCAATAACAACAACAAACAACAAACAACAACAACAACAACAACCGCGATGATCTTGCTAATTTATTTAAGTACGTTAACCTTCAAATGATCATCACACATGTTTGTACTTTCACATTCTTTTTCTTTCAAAAAATTTCTTTCATTTTGCTTCATCACGACTTTTATGCTCCCCTCCACTCCCCTCCCCCAAAAAAAAATTGAATTTAAATTTTTGTTTTCAAAAAGCGATTTATTTAAACGGATCGAGTGTCAAAGTACACGTACCACAAGGATTTCCCTCCCCTCCTCCTCCGCCTTCTCTTTTCTCCTCTTTTGCAAATCATTGACAAACACTTCGAAACGAAGAAGGAGAACCGGAAGAGGAATGGAAGGGAAGGGCAGGGAAAAAAGTAAAAGAGGTAAGACGATGAATTTATTTAATCAAGGAACAAATCGAAACGCCTACCTATGCGACGCGAGTAACGTCAAAAAATTAATTTTTTTTCTGGAAAACCTGAAAATAAGATAACTTATCACCGATATAAAATCGTACCTGAAATACCTTACACGTCCTCCCTCCTAAACTTTTGCATATATCCATCAATCTTAAACATTACAAATATTTTTAAAAATAAATATCAACAGTGGTAAGGAAAAAAATGAAAAAAACGGTGAAAAATTCCGTACCCGGAAGGGGGAGGAGGGGGAAGGGCAAAGGAAGTAATAATAATAATAATAATAATATTGATAATAATGACGATGACGAACGAATCGAGTAACGAGTATTTTCGGGTTGGATGTAATACAAGTTTTATCAACTAATAAACCGTGTTAAATTATACACATTCAAACGCGTATAATATCAATTATACGCGGATTGAACGAGCTGAGCCCGCGAGGTCTTTTATACGCCCTCAATTAAAATACAATAAAATATTTTACATATACGGCGTCAACAGTAGAAAAGTTTTTTCTCTATCTATCTTTCTTTCTCCCCCCCCCTCACGCCAACCCAGGTACATTTACGCATGGAGTACTCCCCCCTCCTCTAATTAATCGCTAATTAAATTACAATCCGAACGCCTTCAAAATAATGTTTATGCAATCGGCAATACTTGAATGCATCGTGGCTGCATGGTTATTAAAAAACCAAATTAAAAAAAAAAAAAATTTAATAATTAAAATAATTACTGTATTAAAAAAAAAAAACAAACTGTTGCCAGGCCGACTCCCCTCGCCTCCCCTCTCTCTCTCTCTCCCACGTTATCCCCTTAAAAATAAATAAATTTTTCCTGTGGTTTTTACACCACACTCGTGACACACAAACGTTTTTCCCCAACGCACACACTACTGGTCGACAATTAATTTTAATTTTTTTTCTTTCTTTCTTTTCTGTCTGACGTCATCAACTTTTTCCCGCATACACCAAGACAATCAATCCAATAATGTCTCCTATCTAATTCTTCGCCTAATCAAAAAGAAACAACAACAACAACAACAACATCAAGGTTTGTTTTTCACGCATCCACCGATCGATGACAACGATCAGGTACATAACGTACAATAAATTATAACCTTAATAAGTAAGGTGAAGAGAGATCAAACGTCATAATCCCACCACATCTTTTAAATAAAAAAAAAAATGACGATGATAATAATAATATTTAAAAACTTCGACTCTGTTGTAAATCTTAAGGTTAAATATTGGATAACGTCCAAACAGATTTCTTTTCTTCTTCTTCTTCATCGTCTTTTCTATTATTTCTTTTATTTCGAAATTATATACAACAAACTAAAAAAAAATACGAGACAACAATAAATTAACAGCAAACAAACACAAATTTACCACCGCCACGACTGACTGACACGAACCATTTCAAAACAAACGAACAAACAAACGAACAAACAATCGAAATACATTTAAAATTATCGACGCATTAAATATTTTTTTAAAAAAAAAAAAAAAAAAAAAATTTAAAATTACGTTCGTTCCATCGATAAATTAATAAATAAACGAACATAAAATTTCCCTTCATCGGTATTGTGGCAATAAAAATTTGTTGTTTTTAATTTACGATCGACGCACGTAGAAAAATAAAATTTTTCCATTCATACACAAAGTATTATTAAAAAAATACTCAGGTTAATTAATTAGCTTTAATCTCAAAGGTT